TACTTGTTGACACGCAATAAACAAAACTAAAAACAAAGTCATAAGTCTTGCTGATTCTCAACTTGTGTATTCAACGCAGGTTGTGATGCAAGTATGGTAATTAATATTCGCTTATATCAAAAATAAAAAATATATAAAAAAAGCAAATAAAAAAGGAAAAAAAAGCCCTTTTCTGGTTATAAGCTAACACAGATTTTTATCTTGACAGAAGACAACGTTTTTTTGTTGTGATTAAATCTGCTGATGGATACATCTATTTCTTTTTTTGACGGGGCTGGTCTAAAGATCTCAGCTATCATAGACTAACCATATACTAGTATTAATAGATTTAAGTGCCACGGCTTAGGCATTATATATACAGATTAGAGGTTAGTTAGTGATCTTTCATAAATGTTTATTAGTGTACGCTTTGTCCTTAGAATATCAAGCAAGTATTAATAGACATTAAGATCAATAACTCAAGGTGTGCAATTCATAATATTTAATAGAATTTATCAATTGATATTTTATGTGCAAGTTTGAGCCTTACTAATGTTTGTTTTGCTTCCTTGGTGGCACTTTTGAGTATACCCAAATCACTATCAGTAACTACAATGAAATCGTCCTCTGTCAGCAAAGTCACCAGTAAAACTTTTGTTTTCGAAGCAAATTATAAGTCAAAGTCTTTGCATATATTTTTAATTCACTTTCATTATTACTACATATAAGCCGTGTTTAATAAAGCAAACCTTCGATTTGACGGTGCTTGTGTCTAATTGACTTGTCTGTGGTGTCAACAGGGGTAGACGGGAGTCCCTGATAGCGGAACGGTAAAAGATTCTTTGTTAATGGCCACCATAAAAACCTTGTTGTTTAACTGAGTCAATAAGTCTTCGTAATCTTTTTTGGTACACCTGGATCTGCAGATCTTGCAACAAGCACATTCCAAAAGGAAGTGCATTACAAACGTGCACCCAATTCCGTCGATATCATCTGTCCTAGGATCAGCTGAGCACCAATATTTTAAACTTTTAAACTTTTGAGTATGTTAGCATTGACATGTTATGATTCATGAAATCCAGTAGACCCCCAAGAACTTTTATAATAATGTCGGTGTCATCCAAGATGGCCTCAGTAATACCTTGGACTATCTCAATATGTTTGTAGATTTCCCCCAACTTGTTTTTTTTTTTTTGCTTTCACAACTTCAGGGAGCTGGCTTTTCAACAAAGTGGCAGCAAAGTCTGGGTCTAATTCTACCTTCTTGAATTGGCGAAAAAAAGGAAGTACTCCATTTTAGCCATTTTTTAACCTTCTCCTGTCGAGAGTCACCAGAAAAAGTCGTAGAAGGTGAATAAGTGATAACAAAATATTTGTGTTTCCATTGCTTTTTACGTCATCTCTTCTATTAATTTCTAGAGAGACTGGTTCTAAGGCTTCAGATAGAATAGATCTCCCTTGTACCGAAATGTATAGGTTAACAGTAGATTGACAAAGAGTCAAGATATAATCTAACAGAAACTTAACATCTAAAAACTATACTTCCTTCATATTTTTGACACCCAACAGCGGTAGATCAGATTTAGATTGGACGGTGCTGAATAGAGGAAGAACTCTTGAGAAATCAAGATTTGTAGATCCAGTGCCGACAAGTAAAGGCCCAAGGTTTGTCTTGCTGAGGCTCATTTAATTGTCTTCTATTTTGATACTATCAGTACTCAAAGAGCGTCTATCAGAAATATTTAAAAAGTCGAGCCTAGGGTTTGAAATTTTCTTGGAAGATGTCAATCACATAGAATTCAGTTTAGATCTGTCAAAATTATATGGGCAATCAGCTAGGTGTTTTCTTTTATATGAAATAGACAAATAGAAGAAGGATTTTGGAGCAGTATTTAATTGGATATCGCTATCAAATGTAAAAGAACTCTTATAATAAAATGAAAAATAATGAAAAAAAAAGGTCTTGTTTGGATATTAATTTAAAGAAAAAAGCTATTAGGAGCAGTTATCAAGATCAAATATCGCAGACTAATTGAGAAAAAACATATTTCAAAGGGAGTTGTTAATAATATCCTGAATTTTGGAAATAAGACTTTTGATTTATATACTTGTTACCTGAGACTGATATAAATAAACCAAACATGATAAAGGAACTCTGGTTTTCAAATTACTTCGCCACCCTGCACGAATAAAAACAAATGCTGTACTGACAGCTAGATAGATAGATAATCAGTTTATTGTCCTTACATCAAATAGTTACATACAAAATTACAAAACAAAATGACATACAAAGAAGACATGAAATTTCAAAAACATTTGTCTCTATGAGACTGGCAAAGTAGCGGTGTCAGCGCGCGTAATAGGTTCAGACGTTCGATGGCGCCGAATTTTCCATGAAAGTATCCATGTGCTAAGGGAAACCTGAGATACATAACACC